CGACACTGACGCGAAAAACTGATCAAAATAGTGCCAATTGAACATGTGCCATAATTCTTTTTATTCATGAGAAATATTGACTGTCAGTAATTAAATAAGGCCGATCAGTAATAAAATCGATCACTATTTGGAAAGTGCCATAATTCTCTAATATCAAAAAATGGTCGCTGAAATACCATGTTGTTGGTATTGTCCAGGTAGCAATATTGTCAGCTGAATACCGAATTTATTGCCGGTGTAATACACTCTAGTGAAAAAGTCGCTGAAAAACCATCATGTTGGTTTTGTCCAGGTAGGAACAGGTAGAAGTTTTGTCAGTAGGAAATCGGCCGTTCCTACACTGGCAAAATGTCATAGGAACCGTTCCTATGACATTTTGCCAGTGTAAAACACTAGTGAAATAGTCCGTTAAAAACCTGTGTTTTGTCTTTGCAGGAACGGTATGAAATGAGACTTTCTCACGATTAGAACGGCTCCCAAACCTAAGTACAATACATAACGTATGCATTTTCCAAAAAATCAACACTTTACAGACTTTTATACAAATCAAAAATCGCAATAAAACGGCATTTTTCTAAAATAAAAGGCATTGGCCTCCATTTTGAATTTTATTTTGACAGGTCGTTGGATTACCCTATACCCCATACCTAAGTTCAATTGTTTTGGAAAAATTGACAGTTGAAAATTGACTTTTTTGCAAGTTTGACTTTGAAACCTAAACGGTTAATTTTAAAGGAAAACCTACATTCTTATCCTTGATTTTCATAAATTATCATTTGACACCAACTTTGAATTTAATCCATGATTGAAAATTCCAATTTAATTTAATTTTGGGTTAAATAAAAAGTTAGTGTCAAATGACAATTTATGAAAATCTAAGATAAGAATGTAGGTAAGATCGGTTTTCCTTTAAAATTAACCGTTTAGGCTTTACAGCCTGTCAAAGTTGCAAAAAAGTCAATTTTCAACTGTCAATATACAGGGTGTCTCGTTTAAAAAAAAAACAACTTTCATATCATCACGCTTAATTGAGCCACCCTGTATACTCAAAAATATTTTCCTAAAATAGAGTCTCACTAGTATAGGCTGATATACAGTGAGAACGTAAAGGTTGGAATAAAATCCATAAAATATACAGGGTTGATATTTTTCAAAAAACCTCGGACACGTCGATTTTTGATTTTAGTGGCCGTTTTTTTGATGATAAAATCATGTATACAGGGTGACCCAAAAATAAGCTATGATGACAGCTTACTTACTTAATTTTTTTTTAAATGTAAAAACCAATTTTTATTTCAATTTCAAATTCTACGTTAAATTCTGAAACTATTTTATGTATCATGTCTTATATCTATCTTCAACTGTTTCGGAAATATTGATAGTTGAAAACTGACTTTTTTGCAACTTCGACAGGTTGTAGAACCAAAACGGTTAATTTTAGAGGAAAACTGATTCTACATTCTTGTCTTAGTTTTTCATAAACTGTATATCAGCCTATACTAGTTGTGAGACTCTATTTTAGGAAAATATTTTTGTATAAACGAAATTCCTAACCTTTTTAGTTTAGGACTTATAGACAGACGCGCCCTTAGCTGCGGACCCTGTGTGTATACAATATTGAAAATTGAATTAGGCAATCCAACGACCTGTCCAAATGGCGTCTGGTTGGCAAACAATGAACAAAAAACATATGTTTTTTTGCAGGATTAAGCCTAGTACTCATAACAGCGAAATTCGCTCTTTTTTGACATTGCTTCGACAATTTGACGTTTTATGCGTGAATCAAACGTCAAATTGTCGAAGCAATGTCAAAAAAGAGCGAATTTCGCGGTTATGAGTACTAGGTTTTATCAATACACGGGGCGAGTACTCAAATCTGACACTTTTCCGACATCGTTGACACGTAACAACCCGTATTCTAACCTCATAAAAACTACAAAATGCCGGCTGGTTGGCAAAAGTCACGTGGTTTGGATTCCCTAATTGATTGCCGACTGGTTAAGGTCCAACAAATTGAAGTCTGTTATTTTCGATTATAGTATTGAATTAAATAATAACATACCAAATTTGAACATGAAACAGTTTCAGTTACCTCCATTATACGACCAGAATATAGCCATGCTGACTCTAGTTGTTCTAACATAATGCTATCTGACCATGTCCGTCATGTTTTTCATTAAATAAACAAGGTATTGAAAAATTTTCAGCTGTCATGAAAGTTTTTCATCAGGATTAATTTTTAACACCTTCGAAGGTACGTGGGCGTAGCTTGTCCCGCTACGTCACTTGCTGACTCGAGTATAGTTATATACATCACAAATACAAGCTTATATTAAATTATCAGTTTTCATGAAACTTTTGCATTTTTTTGGCGCTGGCTCTCGGACTACAAGATACCCAATTTCAATGAATAATAATAGTGTAAGGTATCGTATATTTTGGATTTAGGGTAAAAATTCATGATTTTTTTTGAGTAAATTGAAATAGATCGTACTAATATTTCAAGCCAATCAGCTAGAAAACATAAGCTACAGAACAATGCAAAGTTAGACTCTTAAAAAATTGAGTTTGATTTTTTTGAGTAAATATTCCACAATATCGGATTAAACTTTTTCATGTGAATAAAGCAAGATTTGAAGTATCTTAGAAAGAAATTATAAGCCAATCTGTGGTAAAACATCGGCTTTACAAAATCTCCAAAATGTATGGAATATCAGATTGAAATTATGTTATAAAAGACTTCAAACCTTTATCCATTCACAATATTATTCTGTATTCAGTCAATTTTTTGGTAGAACATGAGGTAGAAGTGGTAGAACTGAGGTTTCAAATTATTCGAACCAAGGATAGATGACTAATGATTTTTTATCCAATATAATACCCTATTCAACTCCTATACAGGATGTCCCAGGTAAAAGTAACTACATGGGGGTTTCGGAAACGGTAAGAGATACAATTTTGGTTAAATGGGAAAAAGTTGCGCTATTCCAAGCCCAATCAGATGCTGTATCGAAATTGAAAATGTCTACAGTTACAAAGCTATGATAACAAAACACAATTACGGCATTTGTTCCAACACCAACTAAGTGAAAATCTGTTTTTTTTATTAAATTTACCATAGTTTACATTTTTCGTCACCCAAAGATAGGCCTGTTATAACATGGTTAAAAAGCCTTCTTTATGCTCCATTTAATGACGTAAAAAAAATACGGCGGCCATAAGAAATAACAAAGTTGGCTATGGTTGCAAAAAAACTAGAGGGTCTGGAAGAAGTGTGTTAACGTCATTCGATTGCTCATAGTCGCTAATACAAAACTACCAAATTTTAATTAATTTGTTTGAAACGATATTTCAATTTTTCGAAAAAAAACAATTTTTGGTTTATGCTCGATATTTTGAAAACCCCTGTAGATATTCCCAATTTCGATGCAGCATCTGATTGGGCTTGGAATAGCTCAACTTTTTTCCCATTTAATCAAAATTGTATCTCACCGTTTCTGAAATCCCCATGTGGTTACTTTTATGTGGGACACCCTGTATAGCTTCAAACAGTATTGCAGAGCTGTATGTTTATTCAGGTTTGTGCTAGATGACAATAATAATAATGAGAAAATTAACAACCTAAAAAAGTTAATGATTAATTCCTGACTTCTTATTTTTTTTTTTCCAGAAAGTCAGTTAAAAAAAAAACAAGAAAACATGCATGTTAGTTGTATGAACAATCAATGATAGTCAACCATCCAAGGACCTTTTTTTTCAGTTATACATGTAAACCCCATACTTTGTGAGTGGCTTGCTTACATCAAGTCCTACAACTTTTCTCGGAAATGGCACGTATGCGCGCAGGCGACTCGCAAACATTTTAGGGGTATCGGACTCCCCCAATTTGCCATTATTTTTGTCGGCCAAGTTGATTTCCGTGATTTAGAAATAAAAATCAAACATTATTCGTGAAATTAGATTTTCATGTATCAAGAAACATAACCACGTCAGATCGACATTTAGGGGGTATCGGACTCCCCCAATTTGCCATTATTTTTGTCGGCCAAGTTGATTTCCGTGATTTAGACATAAAAATCAAACAGTATTCGTAAAATTAGATTTACCTACATGTATCAGGAAACATAGCTACGTCAGATCGACATGTTTGCGAGTCGCCTGCGCGCATACGTGCCATTTCCGAGAAAAGTCGTAGAGGAAAAGTTGTAGGACTTGATGTAAGCAAGCCACTCACAAAGTATGGGGTTTACATGTATAACTGAAAAAAAAGGTCCTTGGATGGTTGACTATGAACGTTTCATGCATGTTAGTAAATCTCGTCAGAAAAAAAAAATACCATAAGCCCAACCACTACATATGACACAAACAATCTCCAGTTAAGGGCATTTTGCTCCAAAAAATCTCTATGTAAGTATGTCGATGAATTTAATAGAAAGCTATGCCAATTACTGAAGACAACAAAAATCAGTATTTAATTATTCTACACAATGCATAAACAAGTACAGTTAAATGGTAAACCAATCACAACGAGTCAGGTCTTTTTTTATTGGAATGTTTCAAAATATGTATGTACCACAAAAAAGCAAATTTTGAAAAAATATAGGAAAAATTCAGTTGTCGATAAATTAGTCCACTACTTTCTGATTTAATGCCTGTTCCAACAGAAAACAGTTACGACTCATTGAAAATCAGATAAAATAGTTCGTTTTTCAGGAACCTGTTAACTGATTTCAACAAGAAACAAAAATTTAGTAAATCAATCAATAAAAAGTACCCAAATACTACAAAAGCTAAAATTGAAATAACAAACAAAAGCATAAAAAAAATAAGAAAGTAGGTATTATTCATAGATATTATCTCAGAAATTGCAATAAAATTACATTATTTGTTAGTAACTAATTGGCCAAAATAAAAAATGTATTTGAAGCGCGGCTGTATATAGTTTCACATTAAACTTTGAAGCAAAATATATACGAACACAAACGAAAGCATCAATTTACCATGAGTATGTATCCTCATACACGAAGAAGTAATATCAGTTGTGACAGTGAAATAGGGTATCCATAAATCTTCAATGTAGGTATCTCCTAGGGTACCTTTAAGGGTTTGATTGAAATCACTACCACTAAACATTGAAGTCATTGGATACGTTAGATCAAGTATTTGACGCCACCACTGCGTCATTTTCTGAAAACATACAATAATTATTAAATTGAATAACTAGAAACTGTTACCTACCCTAGACCACTCTCTAGCTTTTTGTGTAACAGTCGTCATGTTTCTATCTTGGCACCACAGAGCCCCCATGAAAGCTCCTATTGAAACTCCTCCCACCATATCGATAGGAATACCTGCTTCTTGAATAGCTTTTATCATACCAATATGTGACGATCCTCTAGCACCACCACCGCCCAAAACAAGACCTACAGATTTACCAGTCAACCATCTGGCTAATCTTGAAAAATCCGAATGAATGTTCGGATCGGTTGCACAAACTTTCGAGTATAATTCATTCTGGAATAATAAAGTTTAGTTAAAATGTGTATATGGACCAATTTGAACTCACTATTCTATATTGACTTTTTCTAGCATACACTCTGTTAGGGCACAGGATATGATGATGAGAGGACACCCAGGATCTAATATTCAGCCAGCCAATGGTGTTCTTCGGTTTCCCATTTTCTTTATGTAAAAGGACTAGTTCTTTTTGAGTTCTTATTGCCAGTCTTTCTAATTCTTTTTCTACTTTACCTGATAGGTGAAAAAATAAATGTTTAGAATAGAAACTGTCAAAAAATGTGTTTTAACATGGACAATTTCAATATTTCTCAAATGGTATGATTTCCCTTCATATTGCAGGATAAACTACTGAGGCAGCTGGGTTACAAAAATAAGGCAGTATGAAATTTGATAAAGGTTGATTTCTTATCATTGTCATTATTGAAACTAGCTCAAAAATTACCTAATGAAGGAGGATTCTCCCCCAACCCAACAATTAAAATACAATCCGCCTGTCTAATGCACCGTTGCGTCCAAGCAGATACCGACAAATCACATTGATAGAGAGATATTTTGTGTTGGTCTTCTTGCTGTGCAAGCCAAGACGACAGCCTATACTCATTGTTCGGATCCATTATAGTACTTCCCAAGGTTTTCTTCATGACATCGGAAGTAAGTCGTAAAGTAGGCCCAATGGCAGTTAAACAGTGGTACAGTTCATAGGTAAACGCCGTTAGAGGCACATCGTCTGAAGCAGCTACAATAGCTACAGTAGAGAAGTTAATCTGTGAAGGTCTGCTGTCTAGGGTTGAACCGCGGCTGTGGCCTGTAATTGCAGGCTTCTTCCAGGAACCTATGTATTTATATACAATTTGAAATAAAATTAAAATTTTGATGTATATTATAAATGTTACCTAATATCCTATGGCCCAATAAATTAATCAGTCTTGTAACTACAATTGGAAATCTAAGCTTAATTACGTTAAATAATCCTTCTGGCAATTTTGCTAACTCCGAGTCTCTTACAGCTATTACAGTGGTACTTCTTTTTGTCTGAGTAACCATTTCAACCTAGACACAATAATTCCAATAATAACGTTGTATTACTGGTATCATACAATACTTACTACTCCAATTAAATCTCCTTTACCATACTCTCCAACCAGCTCCTTTTTACCATTTTTATCTGTTATAACTGAACGTAATCGTCCAGATAATACTATGTAAGTAGAGTCACTGTCATCGTCTTGTCTATACACAGCTCTACCTATAAAATTCACAGAATAATAATTTCCCTACTAATTCAGCCAGTAATCTTACCAGATTCTAAAAACAACCAATCCAAAGCAAAATCCACTTGCCTTACAAATGGAGATAGTCGTTTAACAACCAGATTTGCAATATAAAGCACTACTTTTGGTCTTTCCTTCATAATACTATAATAAAGGCTCAGTTTTACCATTTTAAAAATAATTGTTGAATGGACTCACTTATAAAAGGTATTTTTTGACAGTACGGCTATCCTAGTAAGATGTTTGGCTCTAATAGTAAAAAAACTAGGCTCTCCAGTTATTACAGCTAACCCACCGACTATCTCTCCAGGATACGAGGAATACATATGAATTTCTTCACGGCTATCAGTGACTTTTTGAGAAACCACCAATGCTCCAGATAATATATACAGCAGAGCAACATCCTAACAAATAAATTTTTAAAAAAATTATTGCAAAAATAATTAACTAATTACCTTATGTGAATCTTCTTTCATTAAATAAGTGCCAGCAGATACTTCTCGAATTTCCAAATTCAAATCAATCCCTTCTTCTTCGCCAGTTAATCCTAATTCAGTTATAAATACATCTCTGGCTATTTTGATTAGGACTTCTTCAGTTGCATCTTCTGGGACAGAATGTCTTTTTCTTGGAGCTTCGGTAACCTACAAGGAACAAAAATGACTTTGGAGAAAAAGTATCAAGAGCAATCAAACTCACCTCTGGTCTCATTCCTTCGACATCTGCCAACATATCAGGAGTATTATTGCAACCTGGCGACATAGCTTTTCCATCAAAGCTGGATCTAGTTCTTCTGTGACCATGTGAACTGGAGCTAGGTAAGGCATATCCACCATTTGGATCAATAGAAACTAAAACAAATTGGCTTATTAGTATTGAAAACAAATTCAAATGAATAAGTTACCATAAGATGAAGCGTCTTTAGCAGGCAAAGAGTGTAATGTCGAGTCTTCACGTTTTCTTTTCAATGGAGATGAATACAGGCTTTTTTGTTTGGAATTCTAAGACAAAAAATAACATGAATCACTTCAACCAATGGAAAAATACTACATTTCAAAATTCTTACCTTTGCCACGATAATCTAAAATAATTAATTGTGTTAGTAATTTGCACAAGAACCACCAGTTAGTTTTTTTTTCCAGTAAAACATGCTCTCACCTGTCTGACCAATTCGGCACTCAACCCCAAATACTGATGGAGGGCAGTAAAAGTGACCCTCTGCAATCTGACCATGATAACTTGCATAACCCTAATAAAAATATCTGGATATTCATGGAATACATCCTGGAAGGCCGTCATGGGTAATTTAACAACTGTGGAATCCTCTAAGGCTTTAGCTGAAATTGTTTTATAGGGATTCGGATGTCCCTGAAATTTTTTTAAAGTCAAATTTTCAACAAATAATTTACATGCTCCAATTTACCGTTAAAACATCAGTAAAACTCAAAAGCGACGTTACACTTTCGCCAGGTTTGACGATTTTGAGTGAAGTGGTCCCCTCATTACTGCTTATAAAAACGTTTAGTTTGCCACTTTGTAAAATATAAAAATTTTCATCAGGATCGCCGATTTTAAACAAGTAGCTTCCAGAGCATACATTAACGATTTCAGTGTGTTTGCAGAGCTTTAAAAATACTGGTTTTTCGAAATGGCCAAAAACTCTTATGCTCTGCAACATGTACAAGACGTCTGGAGGCATACGATCATCGCTGAGCGTGTCTTCTTGTAGATATTCTACCGGAGGCTCCAGAACCTGGATTTAAAAATTTTGTTGAGACTATTTTTCAATATCTAGTTGTGGAAGAAATGTAAATTAGGAGGTTCAATAATAATGCAGACAAAAATATTAATGAGGTTATATGTCATTCATCCAAATTACAACACAACTTAAGTTTTGAAGTTATAATAGTATATTGTTTTATTAGGAGTAGAAGCTTTACTTTTTTGTGCTGAAGCTACGTTCGGCTCGCAATACTGCTGAAGCACAAAAAAGTGCTTCTACTCCGTATGCAACACGCTATTTTTTCTCCAAACGAATGGGGTAAGCTTGGGGGCAAGTGGATGGTTGAGCGGCAGCACAAGTACGAGCGGCACTAAAAGTACTTCTACTGCCGCTCCAGCGGCACTAAAAGTACTTTTGCTGCCGCTGGGGTTGCCAAGCAGCATAGAAATTAAATTTCTACCACCTCGACAGGTGTTAACCCGCTGGATTTGCCTAGCAGCATGGAAATCAAATTTCTGACATCTTGACAGGGGTTAACAAAGTGACGTTTTTCTGACGTTTGGAGAAAAAAAGCTTTAGAGAATCTATGGCTGGTAATTCGTTTGTATCCGATGTTTTTTTTTTTAATTTACATAATTTATCATGAGAATTTCATACATCTGTCAAAACTGGTATTCCAACAATAAATTGACATGTTTTGATTGTTGATTTGAACCAATCAGATTGTAATTACGCGATAATTTGCACTAGTGCAAATTATCAGATAATTGCATACTAACTGGTGCGAAAACTGGTGTTTTGACAAAAAATTTAAATTTTTGATTTATGAAATTCTCTCATTAAATACAACTCGTGCAATGGAAATATATTTATAATTTTCGACAAATTTGCACTCATGCGTTTTTAACTGAAAAAGGCACTCCTAAAAATGCATTCGGGCAAATTTCCCAAAAATTATCAATAATTTCCATTGCACTAGTTATATTACTATTGATAATTTAGGATAACCTTGGCAGCATACATACTTATTTCTAAGTTGAAAAAATTAAATAATCTGTACATAATGTATTGACGGAATGAAAATGAAAAATTCCAGCTGTAAAATTCATTATTTACCTCCAATATCAAATATCGATTCATTTCACATCAAAATCCTACTAAGTTCAAATATACCAGACATGTTCAGCAGAGTGAATACACTCATCAATCATCATAAACCAAACCGATGAATATTCAAATATATTAACACATTATTAATTGAAAAATATACATAACCAGATACACATACAACAGTCTATATATTTGCATATTTTTATAACTCTTACAATAGACGCACAATTTGCAAACAGATTTATTGAATAACAACATGAAAATAGCTTTGAAATAATTTGTCAATTATTGTTTATGATAGAAGCAAGGAGGGATTTGTTAATGTTCTTAATGGCAGGAGTTTATAAATAATTGATTGATAGTTTGGTTTATGTTGAAGTAAAAGAATATTGTCACACATTAGGTCTGTTTTGTTCTATTGAAAAGTATTCATTTGAATGACAATTATTCTCACCTTAAGTTGCTCCTGTTCTTCCTTTTTCAATGCAAGCAATCTCCGAGCAAATTTCATGACCATTTTTCGTTTTTTGCCTTGTCCTGAGTTCCGGACTTGCCCCGAGATATTTTTCACCTTTCTCAACATTTTTTTGCCATAGTAGATTGCCTTGTCTCTCTTTCTGAATCTGCCTTCCTGGTTTAGTGTCACTTTGGATGAAAATACTAAAAAATAACAATATAAGCCAGTGAAACTGAAATGTGTATGAGAGGTGCTTACCTTTTTGTTGACATCTTCGGACGCAAATAATTGTTACTGTAACAATCAAAATTATTATTGCTACAATGGACAAGTAGAGGATCTGAAAAAATAGAGAAATCATAATTCTTGCAGTATCATCTACTTTTAAAATTTATTTTTTAAAAAACTTTGATAAGGTTCAATAATAATATTATAACATATGGGTAAACATGACGTTATTTGAGAAAATTGATTATTACCAGCTATTTTTATCTGAATCTAAACATTAAATAATTTGAAAAACAAACACTGCTGATATCGTGTATATCATACAGACCGAAAACAGTTCATTGAGGGTTTATAAACACTATTATTTAAAAACTTTCCTGCTATCAAGACTTTGTGAAAAGCTACAAGGGTTTTTAACATTCCCCACTACTATGGGAGGAAATTGAGTAATGATTGCGTGAAGAAAGGAAGGACTTGCTACTACATGGTAATCACAAATTCCGATAACGCCTTAATCCACACATAGGATCAGATGACTATGAGCCGATTGATCATTATCTTCAAAGTAAGACAATCTTCCTTGTTTAAGACTTTTTTGAAGCTTGAACTTGCCACAGAGTAATAGGAATACCACTCAACTTTATTAGAGACTTTCCAAAGACGTGACGGATATGTATTAGAATTGGGGAGAGTTGTTTTCTGAGTGGAGTAGTCTAAGGATTAGTCCTAGGTCTACTCTTTTTCCTACAGTGGGAAAAATCAGTATCGAATCTTGGATACGACCTCATCAGCTCTGGTAATACATGCACAATAAAACACTGTCATCGAATGTAATACCCACATTTCACTAGTTTTATCAACAATACAGCAGGGTGTAGTAGGACAGTATTAGCCAGTTTTTAGGTACTATTCTTGATTGTTTTTTCGAGAGAACATGATCATATTCCCTTGGAACAGATTCAAATTTTTAGCCTAATAAATCGATTATTTGGGAAAAACCAGTACCTACCACAACAAATTTGGCATACAAAAAGTTTGAAATTTGAATACATGGTCGAAGGCTCACTTCCAGTAAGGACATTAGGTACTAACATGAACAGAAGAGAACCTGATTTCTAATTTTATAATAAATAAATTCAACACAAGACAGGCATTATCTTGTTTAATAGCAAATTATACAGTGACAAACCCTTATTGGACAATCCAAAAGAGGTTGAATTATGTCTTATCATACTGATTGTATTGGGCAGTCCTGGTTAACGATCTCCTGGCAAAAATGGCCAAGGAGAGATTCTACTGCCTCGGCTAGGCAGATGATATAGTCCTGGTAGTCAGAGGCAGGCATCTAGAACATTATTCAGAAAGAACTCAAAAAGCAGTGAACACAGTAGATAACTGGTGTAGGGATAAAGGCTTGTTGGTCAATCCGCAGAAAACCGTAAATGTCCCGTTCACAAAGAAAAGAGTATTAAGAGGACTTCGATGTTCTAAGCTTAATATAGCGGAAATCCCCTTCTCAAAAGAAGTCAAATATCTAGGAGTTATTTTTGACCATAGGATGACCTGGGGCCCACACCTCATTAAAAGTGTCCAGAAGGCTGAAATTTCCCTGGGGAGATGCAGAAGGCTTTGTGGAAAAAGCTGGGGACTTAATGAGATGAATCTATGGTTATACAAAATGGTGATAAAACCAACGATAACCTATGGTTCGGTTACCTGGGGTACAAAGGTCACGCAGACCGTAGCAATCAGACAGCTTTAAAGTGTGCAAAGGCTAGCCTGCGTATGCATCACGGAGGCCATGAAAACAGCCCCAACCGCAGCCTTGGAGGTGTTGCTAAACCTGCCGCCACTACATATCTACATACAGGGTGAACAGACAGAACCATTCTGCGTAATTTCTGTAGAAAGTTTTAAAACATCGATCAAGAACTGGATAGAAGGAGAGTTCCAGAGCTGGTGGCAGCGAACACCAGGACAACGACAGGCAAAGCAGTTTATCAAATTCTGCTCGCCCAAGTTCACAGCGGACCGACTAAGCCACAGTCGCAAGATTGTTAGGATAACGGTAGGCCAATTAAATAACAGGGTATTGTAAACTCAACATGCACCTGGAAAGAATGAGCTTGGCAGAGGATAGCCTGTGCAGGTTCTGCCAGGAGGCGGAAGAAACTGCCGTATATATATATGTATGGTGCCATTGCAAAGCGCTATGCAACCTTAGGTTTGCGAGGCTTGGAGAAGAAAAGCCCAATTCGGCAAGCTACATAAGGTGGCCAGTAGCATGACTCTGGAGTCATGGATTAGAAGGACGGGTCTAACGAAGGACAGATAGGAGATACCACAATAAATCTAACAAGGTTGCAGTGGTAGAGGACGCCTCTGCGCCATCTCCATTTAAACAAATCTACAATCTACAAAGCATACTGATGAAAATTGTACTGATTTCTGGAATGATAACTCTTTCTTTTTAAAAAATCCTGTAAATATGAAGGCTGAAGTTCATGTTCTAGTTTGAAGATGGAAAGTAAAAGCTGATAGGTATTTGAAACTTTAACGTCACGCCAATTTCAAGACATTTAGCATATTTTTAAGTGGTTCATATTGATCGCAATTCAAGATAGCTCTCATTGCTCTATTTTGGAGCACTTGTAATTTATCTATATCAGTCTTATTTTCAAAATAAAGAAAAGATCCTCAGTAGACAGAATGTGGTTTTATTATAAAATTGTACCATTAAAAATTAGCTTCTTTATATGTACCTAATGATGTAATGATAGCTATTAAATGAGACAAAAAACCCACTTTTTTACCTAATTTGCCTAATATGTATATTCAAAATAAATAATAATAATTTAAATTTAACTGGCTAGGTATTTGAACGAGTGAGATAAGATTAAAGCAAGATATTTTATTTTATTATTAATGTATATTTACATTATTCATTTGATTTCTTAAATTTTTAACAAAAAATTTCATAGTAAAAAGTTGCATCCAAATGACACTTTCTTGAGAAACGCGATAAACGATTTTACATTTTTCAGAGCAAACATCATTCTTACACTTTACTATTTGATATGATCTTTATTGAAAAGAAGTGATAAATTCCAGATATCGTTAAAATGTCTATGGTTAAAATGCAATGAAGAAATATTCCGGAAAATAAAAATAAATACTCCGCTGACAGCTGACATCATAGAAATGTCTTTAAAAATATTTGAATGCATACAAGATAACGCCATAAATTGCTTGTCTTTGGTTATTAATCATTCGTTTGACACTGGAATTTTACCAACTTCTTGAAAGTCAAGCATTATCAGACCTATCTTTGAGGGTGGTGATACTGAAGATCCCTCACGCTATCGCCCAATATCTCTGCTCTTGTTTCTATCCAAAATATTAGTAGAGAAACTAGTTAAATCCAGAACGGACCAGAACTAGATCCAGAATGATCGCATTTGTAAAGAAACATTAAATACTCAATGACTGCCAATTTGGATTCCAAGCTAAGATAGGTGATGCGATTTTTAAACTTCTGAAGTCACTCTTTCCGGGTCTAAATGATGAAAATTTTATTTATTTATTTATTTTTAACACCATAGTTTGTTCTGTGAAAAGGTCGAAAAGGAACGTTAAAAGTAGAATGGTGCCACAAACTATGATATTGACTAGTGAGGGACAATTCAACTAATTTGACTCAAAAGAGTAGGACAGTCCAGCATTCCATTTATTATTTTAAACAAAAACATTAAGCCGAATAGCTCCTATAGTTTGCTCAAGGCGAGTAGGTTAAAAGTCCTTTCCATGGTGCAAGAATCATGGTCTATGATAATAACATTACTTCTAAATGTGAGACTCTATCATGCTGAACTCTCTCCAGCGAATTTGGATGGTACTGAAAAAATGGGAACCAGACAAGTGAACAATATTCAAGACCAGATCTCACTAACGAACAATATAGTTAAGTACCATTCCAGTGGCATTACCTGAGAAAAAAGTAGTATTTCTTATAATTAATCCCAAAAACTCAGGCAAAAACTTCCAACTTTTGATGTTTGTGCAGTAGCCTTTTGCGATTTCTCAAAAGCGTTCGACTATGTTAATAGCGATTTTTTGCTGGGGAAGCTTTACTATAACGGTTTTAGGGAGGTAGAGAGTCAGAGTTGGCAAGAACCCAGATTTTTGAAAATTTCTATTGGGTTTTTGTGATAGTTTTTGTGTTTACTCAACTTGATAAAATTGTATATTTATTTACTAGTTCATTAGCACAAATTCTTTTTTTAGTTATTATTATTATTAATATTATCATTACTACTACTACATAGTAAGTAGGTAGTTATCTCGAGAAAAGTTCGTTTTGCTTTTTACTTTTGTATCTAAGAATAATTGTTTGAATAATGTTATTCAACTATTTTTTCCTAGGATTTTTATTTTGTTTAATATAAACTCAACCGAAAATGAAGTGAGACGCCTCAAAATATCACTATATTTGGAAAGCTGTAACTTTTGTAATTTTATTTCAACGTTTCTTTTGTGTTGGGGGTTTCTCCCTCCTGCCTAAAGAGAGCAGTGATTGTCCCTCTATATAAGGGTGGAGAGCACGACTGTCCTAATTTTAGGCCTATAGCATTACTGCCTACTCTGGCTAAGGTTGTGAAGCGGCTTGTTAGGGGTCTCGTTCTTGAACAACCGTGGCTTTTTAAGTTCTCAGCAGTTTGGCTTTCGTGAATCCATATGAGTGCAGGGGATGCCATCTTCGACTTCCTTGAACACCTTTACAATAGTCTGAACTGTGGCGAGGTCGCTGCAGTAGTGTTCTGTGATATGTCAAAGGCTTTTGACTGTGTGAGTCACAGAGTGCTGCTGTGGAAACTTGAGCTGTATGGTTTCAGGGGACTGCTCTGGAGTGGTTTCGTTCTGACCTGTCGGATCGCGTTCAGGCTGTCAAGTTTAATGGTGGTACCTCTAAGGAACTTGATATTAGTGTGGGCGTCCCACTCGGTACTTGGTCTCCTGCTTCTCCTTATTTATGTGAATGATCTACCACATCTCCAGATAACAGGTAGATTCACAATTTTTTCAGACGATACCACTATCCTCTGGAATGATTCT